CACCCTTTGCATTCCACCGGCCTTTTCCACTGATACCTTGGAGTAGCTGCCCCAAGAACCAGAGAGGAAATACCTCCTGATAATCTGCAGGATCCCATCCTCTATTCCACACTTTCTATCCATGTTGCCACTTTACTGATGCACAGGATTCTGACATTGAGCTCTATGTGATAACCAAGGGCTCATGATGTGGAAGCACCTACTCTTATTTGCTTTCTCACTTTTACTGGGGACATTTGATCTGGTTCTCTCTGCTCCACAGTTCACAGCCCGCACTTGGCACAGGGAGGACCCATGTGAGGTTGCTTTTCATAGCACACATTTGTGGCATTTTGGTGGGAAAGGAGCAGCTGCCCATGGACCGGAGACAGCTCTTGCGGGTTTGAGCAGGGCACGGCAGCTGAGGACAACTTTTGTCTTTGCCCCGGCAGTGGGATTGACTGTCGGCAAATACTTCCCCGCTGTCATCTCCATTGGCTTAACCACACAAAGAAATCCATGTTCCTTTCTCCTTCCTCAATCACAGAATGGGTTGGGTTGGAAGAGACCCTTGGAGGTCATCTAGTGCAAACCCCCCTTGCAACTGGGAGTCTTCAGTAAGAGCAGGTTGCTCAGACACACAGATATTTCTGATTTGCTCCATGGCTGGAGACTCAGGGAGGCTGAGCCTGTTACAAGGGATGGACACCATGCTCTGGCTAAGCATGAGTAATTCCTCCTGCTCCTCTACGAAGTTCACCCATGTGGGGCTGCGCAATTAGGAGGTCTGAAGGACCTTACGTAAGATGGGATCCACAGGCAGACGGGAAGATGTGCTTCCACTGATATCTTGTAGTAATCCTGACTGAAAGACCATTGTACGTCAAGGAGCTGATGATCCACATAACAGTTAACCTGAGTATGCCCAGGACTGTGCTGTGCTGTTCTGCCCTCTGCCACAGGCACAGGCTGGCCTTCAGACCTGTGTTGTGATGCACAGATCCCTTGTCCGGGGGATAGACTCAGCCCACTCCAACAGAGGAGCCTGCATGCAGCCCCTGCTGGGTGCCAAGGGGTTGAGCCACCCATGTGTCCAGGCTTTATCTAACCATGCAGCAAGAAGTTCTCATGAGTACCTCCTTTCTGTTTGACAGCAGAAATGGTTAATAGAGTTCTTTTGCTGTAAGAAGAAAAACCCTCCTAAGACATCTTGAATGACCACACCTGTGGATGGGGTGTGACCAGTATGCTGTGTGCAGATAGGGGCTCCTTCAATGCTACACCACTCAGGGTTCCCAGCATCTAAAGGGACATAAGATTGTCTCTGCTGCTCTCAGCTTACAGTGTTAGCTCTAATAAATAGTACTTAATATCTCTTTACTGGGATCGTAATGAACCAGCACCACCCAGTGCAAAACAGATGTTAGGACACAAAGCCCAAGCGCAGTGGGGAAGGAACAATCACATAAGCTCAGATCTGTGTGAGTCACTGAACCTCATTCACAACAGTATTTCTGGCAATCTTATTCCACAATTTTCAGCTTCACACTCTTCTTCCACTTGTGCAGGGCACTGCTTGAGAAACCACTGGACCAGGGAGGGGGACCAGAGGGGCACTCATTGAGGCTGTCATGGTACAGCTCTACAGGTAGCAAAAGCACAGACTCCCCGAGAAAGTGATTTATTTTCTTTTCTTCCCTTGTCCAAAAGCCATTCTCCCATGCTGGGGGAGATCAGAGTTACAGCAGGCACAGATGTTGAACCAGCTGGTTTCTTAAGGGATAAAATAATTGAGAATTTACTGCCCTGAGCTCACAGTCAACAAAGTTAAATCCCCCTCTCTGCCTTACCCATTCCCAAGTCTCAGAGATTTCCCTCCTGGCTCTGAGAAGGAAGAAAAGACATACAAGACCCCTCTGGGCTGCTGAGTCTTTCAAAAGGACACTTTAATATCATAAAGCAGCAGTTGTTATAGAAGTGTATTTACATACAGGATTACCAGAGTTTCCAAAACTGTGGATACTGCTACTCATTGCAGAAATCTTTCCATCTCCATGAAGGCAGGAAAGGCTTCTTATCACCTTTCCTCCTTTCCCAAAGCACACAGAGAGATGCATTGAAAATAGAGAGCTGAGCTAGTTTCACGTAACAGCACTCTGTATCTTAGCAGCAAATTGTGAAGCATTTTTCTCTCAGAAATACACCCAAGCTGAACTCCCAATATCATGCACACCAGGACAAACCCAGCTGCCATTAGATCCTCCTACTGTGACTAGAATCTCTCCATATTTGAGGTAAGAGAATAAGTTTATGCCGTTGACATAAGACCTCAGAAAGGGTGGCTACTTCTGTATTACTTCCCTTGGTACAGCTGTGCCCCATGAGCCATCCCATGGCAGCTGTGATCTGTGGATTCCTCATCCAGAGTATAAAAGGGAAGCCTTGGAGAAGGAAACCCCCTTCCTGCAGCCACAGATGCAGTGTGGCAGCTGTTGGTAAATAAAAAAACTAGCTCTTTAATTTCATAGCAAGGTATTCCTGAATCTCAAATGGTTGTCCTTAGTAGTCACACAACGTTCTTTTTGCCATTAAAAAAAAAAGGCCCTTGAAAAGGGAAAAGAAAAAAGAGCAAGATTAATAAATGTAGCATTTTGGGTAAATGTTAAATGACAATTCCATGTTATATGACAATTCCATGTTATTTTTCCTTTAGTAAGGCTATTTGTCTCACAGCATAAGATGTAATAGCTCTCATGGTGAGAGAAGTCTTAAGTAGTTATTTTTGATAATGTTCCTAGAACAGACAAGCTGTAAAGAGCAGAGAGTATAAGATCAGCAGTTTTCTGTTGAACAATGAATCAGGAGAGGTTATGTATAAGCAATACCTGTTTTCTTTTGAACGTGTTCCTTTTTTGAGTGTTTTAGTATGTGTGATGGTACCTATGGTCTCTGGAGTAGCCACTGGATTACAAAACAAAATATGTTTTGAATTAGATCTGTCTTTATAAGTTACTTAACTATAGTCTTATGCTAGCTGGATGTGCAGGGTTTGGCTGGGGTAGAGTTCATTTTCTTCACAGTGACTGGTGTGGGGCTGTGTTTTGGATTTGTGCTGAACACAGAGTTGTGTAGAGATGGGTTTTTTTCACTGCTGAATAGGGCTTGCACAGAGCCAAGGCCTTTGCTTTTTATACTGCCTTGGTGGGCAGAGGGTGCATGGGAGGTTAGGAGGAGACACAGCCAGCACAGGTGACCCCAACCGACCAAAGGGATATTCCAGACCATGTGACATCATGCTCAGTATATAAAGTTTGGAGAAGAAGGAGGAAGTGATGGTGCTTGTCTTCCCAAGGAACTGTTGCTGTGATGGGTCCCTGCTATTCTGGAGATGGCTGAACACCTGCCTGCCCATGGGAAGCATGAGTTAATTCCTTGTTTTGCTTTGCTTGTGTGCATGGCTTTTGCTTTCCCTGTTACACTCTTAATCCAAGAGTTTTCCAGCTTTTACCTTTCTGATTCTCTCCCTGATCCCACTGGTGGGGGAGTGAGCAAGTGGTTGCTGGCTGGGGTTAATCCATGACACTAGACTAGTTAATTGTAAATTATAAATTATGCCATTGAGTGTTTTATCACTTAAAGAGCCAACAGACAGATAACAACACATCTTCCAGTTTATACACCATAGTAATGCATGTAACAGCTCTTTAATTTGACTATGGTTGAGATTGCACCAGTTTAATGCACATTTGTGTAAAGTTTTAGGTATGGTTAGGAAAATATTTTTTTTACAGAACAACAACACAACAAAACCAAACCCAACAAACCCTTTTGCTGTTTCACTGTGTTATGTGGGATAAATACTGTCTGTGCCTTTTCCATTTTTTTTCCCATTCCACTTGCCCTATCTCAGGTGTATGTTAGCAATTGCTAATGGCTTTAAGGTGTCAGAGAGGTAGAAAATTATGAATGTCACAATGTGTCCCAGCTTAGGTGTGTCCAATTACCTAATTGGAAAGTAGTTAAAGACCTGGAACAGTCCTTCTAGCAGGGGTAGGTTGTACCTTGTCCCTGGCAGTGTTTAGGAGGGTTTTGGACAATGCCCTTCAATAACATACTTTAATTCTTGGCCAGCCCTGAAGTGATCAGACAATTGGACTAGATGATTTTTGTAGGTCCCTTCCAACTGGAATTATTCTCTTCTTCCTTTCACAGCTTCCCTTGGGGCTGTGACAGTGAAGTGGAGCATACAGGAATAGTTGTGTCCTAGGTGACAATCTGCTGCATTTGTTTCCTTTGTTTTGGTGTGTGTGAATAGTGGGCATTAGAGACTATGGAGCAGAAAATATACTAGTTTTGTAATGAAATCTGTTTCAGAAGAACTCTGCTATCTGTATGCAAGGCAGAAAACACTGACATTTCTGTAGTGCGCATTAGTATCTAACAGAAATAAGCAGGTAGGTAGTTATGGATTTGCCTTGTGTTGTAGTAGTGATCCTTGACTGGTCTTAAGGCTAGAGTTGTCCTTAGTGAACCTCTTTCACTGTGTCTACCCTCTAGGAATAGTCTAATTACATGCTCCCAGTCTACAAACTGTAGAATCTTAGTCAGTGATGTGTTAGTAAGTGTCCACACCCTGACCCACCAGGGCTCGGATGGAGAAGAGTCAGAAGACATTTAGAGGAAAGCACAAATTAAGTTGCTTTTAAATGCAACTGCATTTTAACTGCAGAAAATCTTCAATCCTCTGGTTGAGTTGCTCCTTAAAAGGCAGGTAGATATTCTTAATTTGAAACTGATAAATTCTTATTGAATCATCATATGTTGATAAAAAGTAGTTTTCTTTCTCAGACAGAACTTGTTAACCAGAACCAAGTATTACTGAATGATAAAATTTGGAAATCTACATTTCTTTTATTTGACAATCATCCACTTTAATATATATATACATATTTAAAGTCTGTACATGGTAAAATACAAAATAAAAGTGTTTCTTTATAAGTTACACAGTTAAACAGCTACATTCATCTGTAGTTTAGCTGTCATTTAATTAAAAAAAAAAAGGGAGAGAAGCGTTGCTGAGCCATTGTTATATTCATTCACAATAACCTTGGTATAAAACATCCATACAGAGTAAGTGTACAAAATAGTGTACAGTTCATATAAGCTGTGCAAAGACAGCAAAGTTCAGTCAAAAATCAAAGAGGTGTATCCGCTTTCCTCTGTCCACACCATGAATAGAAGAAGCAAAGTAGAAAATGATCACAAGCCTGTGGGCAAAAAGGTGGGTTACACAGTGCCTTGAATGCAATATTGAGGCATAAATTAAAATGAAAAACATAAATATATAAGATCTCTGTTACACAAGGCACATTTATGTTATACCTTAGAAGTCATTCCAGGGATTTCAATGGATCTGATGCACAAGAATGGTGCTATTTGGTATGAGGAGGGAGGCAGCATTTGGTCTGTGTCCCTCAATGTTATTTACTTTTGGAGGAAAGGGTTGCTAGATCAGACCAGTCTTAAGGGTTTTGATATCTTAATAGTAGCTGGAAATGCACTTGAAAAGTAGCAAAAATAGCCACAGCATCTATATTGTATTTTTTTATACTCCTTATCAGAGGGAAAAAAGTTTTCCTTCCAACAGGCTGTCCTTTCTTCCCTGCTGTAAAGCCAGGAGCTGCCTGTTGCCTGTGTTTTGGGAGAAGGTAAGCTAATTGAGCAAATATTGATTGTTAAAGAGAGAGAGTTATGAAAAGGTTGGCAGATACTATGACTATGAAAACCTCCACAACGAATAAGGAATACCAGTGAGTAGGAAGGCTTGCAACTATGTGACAAAGAACCTGCACTGAAGAAACATGTGGACATTGGGGTGGGACATCACCTCTTCAATTTATAGCACTCTGTTTTATTTACATCTTTGCAGTGTCCCCATGTGATGGTAGGGGCAGGCAAGTGATCTAAGAGACAGTTATCTCCTCCTCTTCCCCCTCATCATCCTCTTCCTCTGAGTCTGAGAAGTCTGAAGGTTTGCTGGGGCTGCTAGAATGGGATGGTGAAGGAGACATCTGGGAGTCCAGTCTGTCCCTCAGGTGTAGATGTTCTGGGGACTGGTGGTAGGTTAAGGGATGCCGGGGGCTGGGTGGGCACACGGGGGGAACTTCTTCCTCCTCCTCCTCCTCTCCTGAACATTTCTTGCCTACGTCACTGAGGTCTGGGTGAGGGTTGAACTTGGTAGGTAGGGTCTGTTCTCTGCAGCCACCTGAAGAGAGGAGCTCTCTCTCTTTGGAGTTCCTCCATTTCATCCTCCTGTTCTGGAACCAGATCTTCACCTAGGGATGAAAGCAACAAAGAATTTAAGTGGTTCAGTAAAACAGGGACCAGAAAAGTGTTTGGCTTGCACTCTTGAAATCCTGCACATGCCCATGCCAAAGCTAACAGGAACCACAGAATCTGATCTTTGGGAGACCCTAAGAGAGGGTAAGAAGGCTGTGGTTCTACTCACCCAGCTGGGAATTGTGCCATTTTTGCCTCTGTGGATGCTCACAGTCCTGTAACTTGCTTTGAGTGTTCTCCCTGCTCCCATCCCCTTCTCTTTCCTTTCTCTCCAGCTGCCCCCAGGAGCGGAGGTCCTTGCTCCCCACACACCCTCTGCCCTCCCCACCTGATGCCCCTCTAACCTGTGAGTCCTTGAGGCCCAGCTTGGCTGCCAACTTCTTCCTGTCAGGTTTGCTGATGTATTTCTGCTTCTGGAACATCTTCTCCAGCGCTTTGCGCTGCACGTCGGAGAAGACAGCGCGGCGCAGCATCCCACGGCGGGGCTTCCCGCGGGCAGCCAGCGGCCAGGAGAAGGTGCCAGGGATGGGGACCACGGCAGAGGCAGCTGTGGGGGGACACACAGTACTGAGCAGAGCGGGACTGGCCCCACCACCCCTTCCTGCCCTTCGGGTGGGCACTCATCAACCTGGGACATGAAAAGAAGCTTTAGGCTTAACTAAGCGTCTGTCTGCCTTTCAGGCAGCAATCGCCGGGATTAGATCTATCAACTCAAATGTGTAAAATGGATCAATAGTGGCCGTTTTTGTTGGGAGATTCAAAGGTCTCCGGCCTGAAAAGGCAAAGCAAGGCGTACCAGCTAAGATAGAGGTATAATAAAAAAGCTTTCCCTCCCACTCAGAAGCATTTGATTTTTTTCAGATGCTTTTATCATTTCAGATGCTTTATTATGCTCGAAATGAAAATGAGGACTTTTCTGATTCCAAACAAAACCGCTCCTCTTCAGATGCAGTTTTGATCAATCAGTATTCATCTTTTTAAAATAATCTCTTCTCTCCCCCCCTCCAAAGTTGGAGAATTCAATTCGAAGACATGAAAAGTAACAGCTAATTAGCACACTGCCTGGTTCCCAATGGCATTAGTATGATAAAAAAGGGCAGAGTTTCGCCTTAAAAAAAAAAAAGGGGGGGGGAACCTCCCCAAGAGAGACAGAGATGCTAATGAAGCGTGAATGGTAATTGTGTAGTAATGAACTAACAGAAAAAGACTGAGGACAAGCAGCTAACGCCATATATTATTGGAACAAAAGAGATTTACACTTTCAAACTAAACACAACGGCATGCCAGGCTCCTCGGGAGAATACTGATGGCACAATCGTCTCTTTCCCCAAATCATTTTCATTAAATGGACATGAAAAGCTATTTATAAAGCTCAAGTTGTTTTTGTTAGGCTATTCACATGCTGGAGAAAGGAAGCAAATTCCATTATCCGGAGGATGAATGGAAGAGCTTGGGTTAGTTTTTTTTCCTCTCTCCCTTTCCCTGTTTTCTTTTTAAATTAATAGCTTGTTTGTGTAATTAGATTTCGGGATGTCTTTTTTAATTGTTCTCCCAGTATCATAATACTTCAGTGCTGTAAGAATCATACCCCCGTAGCCTGCTTTGTCGCCTGCACCATGTTGTTTGATTGTCTGACCGGGAAGGCGAAGGAGGGAAGCGTTAGTACGAGGTGGAGGTGATGGAGGGGAGGGTGAGTGCGCGGTGGAGGTGGAGGAGGGTGAGAGCAGTCACGCCGTTCTCGCAGTGCGACGGATCCTCCTGCAACTCGGCGGGGGAGGAAAGTTTGGGGGACACACAGGGCGGCGGGGACCGGGTCGCCTCCCTCCCTCCCTCTTTCCCTTCCTCTCTCTTTCCCTCCCTCCCTGCGCGAGCGCGGAGCGCGGGCGGCGGGCGCTGACCGCTCCTCGTGGTGCTGAAATCCGCGGAGCGGTCCCGCGGCTCAGCGCTGGGAGGGAGGGAGAGAGGAGGGAGGGAGGGAGAGAAGGGACCCGCCTCGCCTCAGGACCGTGACAATCCCGGCTAATTTGCGGATCAGGGGGGGAGCGGGCAGGGAATGTCAGGCAGGCACTGCCTGTGCTAAATCGGGCAGCAAATTGGCGCGACTGATACTTGAATGTTGTACTCCCTCCAACCTCTGAACTGGAGCATAACCCCGACGGGGCGAGCGGGGGGGACGGAGAAATATCACCGGGCTGCGCCTGGAGAGAGGGGGACTTTTAAAACACCTACCTGGGAAATAGGAAGATCTGATAAAGGGCTGGAAGGATCCTTCAAAGTACGGAAAAGAGAAAGTCTTTGGCGGGACGCTCTGAAGCAACGCAGGGGAGGTTTCTAGTAAATAAATAAAATTAAATTAAGCGTGGGGTTACCACCGTGAGGGTTACTCGACCGACGGCACGGCTGGGTCTGTCCCTTGGTCTGGGAACCAACGCAGTGATACTTTTCAAAAACAAAAAAGAGCCAGACTGAGCTCGGAACAGCCGAGGAAAAATGGCACTTTTGCTGGCTTTGCCAGCAACGCGGCACCCATGAGGGCAGGGCCAGCCAGGAGACACGGCTGTGGGACCTCTCGTCTCTGGGATACCCCCCTCCCCCTGCGCCTCTCGTCCGTCCTGCTGCGGAGAGGGACCAGCCGCCCGCCAGCGCTGCCCCTCGGCCGTGCAACACGGAGGGTTCTGCACTTCGGGACGAGGTCCTCCTTCCCTTTCCTAAAGCTCCCTCTTCTCCCCCCATCCCCGTCAACACCTCCTGGAGGCAGTGCGTCCCCGGAGCCGCCGACCTGCGGCTGGGATCGGGGTGTCCCCCCGCTTACCGGCTCGGGGGGCGGAGGAGAGAATGGCGTTGACTCCAAACTTCAGGAAAGTGGAGTCGCTGCTGGAAGTCTGCGGCGAACAGATCCTCCTGGAGCCGGCGGTGGTGGAGCTGGGGAGCTCCGGCGTCCCCGAGTCCGTCCTGGCCGCCGAGGTCGGGGGGGACATGCTGGACGGGGGGGCAGTCCTGGGCAGGTAACTGGTGGGCCTGCTGATCCGGATCAAATCTTCCACCAGGAAGCTGGAATGGCTGGAAAAAGCTGACTGCAGAGACTGAGGCAAGGTGAGGGTGGGGGTCGGCCGAAGGAGGCTGGGGTAGACGGCTGGAGGGGCGATGAGGCTGGGGAACATCATCGCAGGGGCCGTCCGCGGAGCCGGGCTGGGGCCGCTCGCCTGTTTGTTTGTTTGTTTGCTTTTGTTTTCTGCTTTGCAAACCTGGGTTGGTAAAGATCCAGCCAGCGAGTCTGGCGGGGTTCTCTCTGCCCCTTCCTCCTGGACCATGGGTTTTATAGTGGTCAGCCCCGCTGAGGCTCTTTCAAAAGTGACAGCCCCAACAATGGGGTTCAACAAAGTTCTCCACTTGAGCTTCATTCAGGGCGAGCTCCCGGCTTCTCCATTGGTCCGGGGCCGCAATTTATGATTGGATTAGACTTCATAAGCAACCGGGGCACAATGGCCCCGCCACAAAGAAAGTGTAGTCATCAATTTTGCATATTGACCGCCTCTTTGGAATACAGCGCTCCAAAGACTCCCAGCAGGGTTTTGTTCAGAGGCAACACACACAGGCTAATTAAATGCCTATTTAAAAGTTTCGAATGACATCTTGCCTCGTAGAAAGGGAATTATTTAAAGAAAGCACTAAATTTATTTGCTGCTCCCCTGCTGAGTTTAGGAAATAAATCAATAAATATTCATATAAACTTATCTTTGGGCTCTTAGAAAAGGACGGGTTTTGTGAATTTGAAAATACAAATTAGAAAAAGTGGAACTAAGCTCTGTTGAAGGGGAAAAATACTGGGAGAGCGGATCCCACTACAGTTTGAGCATATTCTGCCCCTGCTATCAGTATGCGCCAAAATTTGTGTATGTAGTTGGGGTTATTTATCTATCCGCGCTTCAAAGGTACGGAATAAAGTATATTTGAGGTGCCAGCCTCTCCTTGCAAGATTTGAGCTTCGTAAAAGTCTTGCTTGCGTGTGCTCAGGCGAGGGGCTTGCCCAGACTGGCTCGAAACGTGAGCCTTGATGTGGCCGATAAGAACTCTGGTCCCACAAAATCTGAGTACTGCACACAGGAGAGATGTGAACAGCTTTGTGGGACCAGAGCAACCCCCTCGGGTTCTCAGTTTGTTGCTTATCTACATTAAAAATAGACATTGTAGCATTTGGATCCTTTTGGCTGAAGTTGCCTGAGCTGCTCTCGGTTTTGTCGGTGTCGATGTCTCGGAAGCAGCCAAATTCACCTGATCTCGGTTTTTATCTGCGGGTGTGTGCAGGGTTTCGGAAGGTGTGTTAGGTCAGTGCAGCAGAGCTCGGAGTACCCCAACTTTGGTGCGAGGGACAAATGACATAAGGGAAAAGTAGCAAATCTTGATTTTTCTGGCAGAGAGGTTTTGTTTGTGGTGGCAAATATGGATATAGACGCAAGTAAGGTTAGTTTCCTTTGGAGGTGGATGATGAAAGCAACTTTTGAGAACGGTTTTACCTGATTCCTCTGTTAAAGATTATAACAGATGTGTTAAATGTCCTATGTTTTAAAAGCATCCTATTCAGTCCTTTGGTGTGTCTGAACCTTTGCAAGTAGAAGTGTGCAGCTCAACCATGCAGCCTTTATCCTATTAACCATGAACTAACTGTCACCTTCAGCTGTTTTCCCTTTTTACTTTTTAACACAAAGCTTTCTCAAAAATCTTATTAACCAGCTTTATTTCTCTCGATGGTTTTTGTCCGGACGTTTTGTGTTGATTATCTCCATGTCGATGCTTTAACCATTCAATAAAAGTGCATCTGCGATTTATATCACATTAGGGAAGAAAGAAAGTCTGTTAAACCTCTCCCTTGATTCAAATAAAAAAGTTATTTATTAGAGAGGACGGAATCAGCCCTCGAAATTGTATGATCCTGACAAGCTTTCCCGGTGCTGTACGCCGGCCCCCAGCAGACGAGCACCTGCAGAAGGCTGACTTGGAAGGTCCGCTGTCTGAAAGCATCACTTTGAAATAAAACCTCGCCGGAGTTTCCCCCCTCCCCCCCAGTTTTGTTAATCTTGATGCTTAGCAGGTAAAGAAAAAAGGGAAGGAAGGCGTGGGCAGACTCAGAGGGCTCAGGGGTGCGGACGGGCCCCCGCCACCTGCCCCCCGCCCCGTCCAGGCCCCGCGGGCGGGGGGGGGGGGGGGGGCGGAAAGCGGGGGCTGCCCCGCCCTGCTGTGGGCTCAGCGCTCCTCTCGCCCCCACCCACAGCGCTCCGGCCTCATCCCAAACCCGGTCATTCCCAGCGCTGCTCTCGAGGTGTTATTTAGCGAGCGAGTGGGACTGTAGCGAAAGGAAAAAGCAAACGAGGCTTTCTCAATAAAATAATTACCTGGGTCCCCGCTAGCCCCCGGTCCCATCTCCATCCCCTGCTCCCTGTCCCTCTCGCAGCCGCCCCGCGATCCCGGCGTTTCCCAAGTGAGCTCCGCCCGGGCTGTTCCGAGAACACTTAGTTTTTTACAGTCATTATACGTTTCCTTTGAGATGATTTACTCCTTTCTTTACTTATACATCGGGGGCATTTTGCCTCACTATAGACCAACTGCTGCTAATTTCTCTGGTTTTAAAAAAGAGGGGCTGACATTTTCTGGAAGGTTGGGTCAAGCGCATGCTGGGGCACGCGTGGACCCGATTCCTTGTGATGCGTCTGAGCACACTCATAAAGAATTCCTTAAGCACCACGGCAAAAGGGACTAGACATCTATTGAAAGGGAAGATAGACCATAAGAAACCAAGAAATCAGACGAAAGGATCTTATTTTAAGTGATCTCCTTTGGAAGTTTCTTTTCAAAGGCAGTGATCATTTAAGAGAAAGGGAATTCTAATGTCTCAGGATAAAACCTGTGACTAATGCCGTTTGACCTATGCTCAGGCAGTTTTGTGCTTCCTGCCATTCATTTTAATGTCGTTATCTTCAAATTTATTTCTTAAAAGTCACTCACTTTCTTTGTCAAGTGGAAAAAAAAAAAAAAGGAAAAAGAGCCCAAACCCGAAATCACCGGCGGGTGGGGGGTGGGGAGGGGGTGCTGAGGGTTGAAGCTGCGTGTGTCCCGGTCCGAGGCTGGTAATCCGCATGAAATTGGGAGAGCCAGCACTCCAAATCCGGAGACCAAAGGGCTGGGCTGGGCAGGGCTGGCGCCCCCCCGGCGGCGCGGAGCCGCGCCCGGGAGCCCCATCCCTCTCCCGCATCCCCGACCCTGAGAGACGGACGTCTCAATCACCACCACGGCGCTGCTCCCGGCTCCACGCGGGACATCGCTCTGCGGGACAACCCCCTGCCCCCGTCGGGCTCTTCCCGCAGCCAGGTGGAAGCCAAACTTCTCTTCCGTTCCTCCCCAAGGCGGGAGCCGCTCCACAAGGGACCAGCCGACCCCTGCTCCGCACCCCGTACCGGCTGTCCGGTCTCGCAAGCCCCGCTGCTTCTCCTTCGCCTAAGATGCGGGGTGTGTGCGAACGTTTTGGGCTTTTTCTTTTTCTTTTTCTTTTTCTTCTTCTTTTTCTTTTTCTTTTTCTTTTTCGTCTTCTTTTTCTTTTTCGTCTTCTTTTTCTTTTTCTTTTTCTTTTTCGTCTTCTTTTTCGTCTTCTTTTTCTTTTTCGTCTTCTTTTTCTTTTTCGTCTTCTTTTTCGTCTTCTTTTTCTTTTTCGTCTTCTTTTTCTTTTTCTTTTTCTTTTTCTTTTTCTTTTTCTTTTTCTTTTTCTTTTTCTTTTTCTTTTTCTTTTTCTTTTTCTTTTTCTTTTTCTTTTTCTTTTTCTTTTTCTTTTTCCTTTTTCTTTTTTCTTTTTCCTTTTCCTTTTCCTTTTCCTTTTTGTTCGTTATTTATTTTCCTCTTTCTTTCTTTTCTTGTCTTTCTTTCTTGTTCTTATCTTTTTTCTTTTCGTTCTTTCTTTTTCTTCTGTCTTTCTTTCTTTCTTCTTTCTTTCTTTCTTTCTTTCTTTCTGCTCTTTTCTTTCTTTCTTTCTTTCTTTCTTTCTTTCTTTCTTTCTTTCTTTCTTTCTTTCTTTCTTTCTTTCTTTCTTTCTTTTCTTTCTTTTCTTTCTTTCTTTTTAACACCTTTAGTTTTTTTCTGCGGGTGAGGGGGCAGCCGGAGGAGGAAAGGATGCTCCGTCCCTAGTGTGTCCCAGGTCCCTAAAGATGCTCAACAGCCACGCCGGCAGCTTGAATGGAGGCTGCGGGGGCGAGGCTGTATTAAGACACCTAAGTCTTCACCTTTAGAATTCAAGCACAAGGAACAGTAACTGTTGGTTCGTTCAAAGCTCTTCTAGATCCCCCCCTTTCTTGAAAATCCTTCTATTGTGCCAATCAAGCAGATGGTTTGCAGGAAATATAGCTTGGCCCCAGTGACCGAAACTAATTTTAACTAGCTTTCCAAGCCTGGCACGTTTGTTTTGCTCTTACAAAATAGCTAAAAAAACAGCTGGCAAGGGTGAATTAAACCCATTAAAGACACATTTATAAGAAATTATATTCACATAGGTTGCTTGAAACCCCCCTAAGAGGGGAGAGATGAGCGTATTGAAATGAAAATGTCCCCGAGCACACTACCCTCCTTAACATCGCCTGAGAGTCTCAAAACATTTTACTAAATAGATTAACTTGACTATTGTTTCGCATCACATTTATCAGCTTCATTAAGTGAATAGCTGAACAAATATATTACGCATGCATGAAAAGCTCTTTTGGGGGCTGCCTTATTGTGTCCTCAGCCCTGACAGGTGGTTAACTGTGTTTCTCTCTCCTCTCCTCCTCTCTCTCTCTGCGCAAAGAAAGAGGGATCTTGGACAGAGCGCGCAGCCCAGACTTGGCAAAGGGACCTAGAGGGGAGAATTACTTTCTTTTCCCTCGCCATTCATGCTGGCCAGCCCAGAGTGCAAGCAGCCTGAAATGCAACCAGATGATCTGATCATGTCAAAAGTAATTAACTTTAGTTTAGTCTCTGTGTCTTGCTTGCGCTTTACTAACTCCTTCCAAGCCTGTTTAATTTGCATCCTTTCTTCCAAATTTGATTATTTTTGTCCATTTCGTCCTGTTATCCTTTTCCCAACCCCTACCTTTGTTTTAAAACAATAATCTGGGGTGGAATAACCCCTCTTCTTTCTTTTCCACTGGTCTGT